TCTCGTACTCGAGTGATATTGCTCATATATATATATATATATATTAGGGCTGGGTATCGATTCAGATGTCCCGCTTCGATTCGATTCTCAATTTTTTTGATTACATTCATTGAATATAGTTTTAATACAAATGCTATTGATCTTCATTTCCAGCGATATCGTTGACATGATTGCAAAGATACTATTTAAACTGAACTGAGCTGGATGATGACATCACTGAATTCAATGATGAACTGCCTTTAACTGAAAAATGTGTGTTTACTATTGTCCTTCTGCATTATTGACACACCATTTTCCTAATTAATGCTGTTCAGTTGCTTTGACACAATCTGTATTGTTAAAAGCGCTATATAAATAAAAGGTGAAAATGAGGAAACAACACCAACTGAAGGAAAAATGTAAGCACTTTGTCAAATATATTACAAAACAGAGCTTGAAACTATTAAAAATAAAGTAAAAATATAAATACTATAGTACATAAAACATATGGGTTACGATGGGAATTTTTCTTTATCCATCAGTGTCAGTGAAAGGCGAATATATAAGTGAATATATGACCAATTTTAATTTTTCTAATATATTTTATGAGGCTTTTTTAAATTCTTAAAATGCTAATCTTAAAATTCTTAAAATGCCAATTTGTATGATTGTTATTTTATTGTAATAAACCTTTTAAATAAAATAAAATAAAATAAAAATGGGTAGCAGGTTTGCAAGTAACATGACTGTCCATTTATTTTTAATTAAGCTATTATTCCATAGGGGCTGATTAGTTTGGTTTTTAATTCTAAAAACGTAGAATTCTCATTATTTCTCATGATTATTTTAATTACCTTTACACTAACGTTGCTAATATTCCGTTTTTAATATCACATTCTTTGGTAATTAAGTAAACGTTTAAAATGTTTACAATTATTTATGTTTGATAATAGTGTGTCTGACATTCAGTATGTAACAGTTTTTACTCTAAAGTGCCTTTATTGCTTTTAAATGATAATAAGAAACGATCTGCACCCTATTTGTGCAAAACACCCACAGTGTCACACCAAGAGTGAAAGTGACGAGCGCCCGTCTGAAGGAGAGCAGAGTCGGGAAGAGCTGCGAAAGGTAGAGAGACCCATCAGCTCCATCAACCACGGGCCAGAAACACCCAACAATACAGTCTGACATATCAATCTATCTCATGACAAAGCTGTCCGAGAACGCCTTTGTTCTGCGGTGCGCCTCTTCAGGAGCGGGCCGTTTTCAGGGATCACAAACACATCTATGTGGGAACGCCACTCTAGAAAACACCTCCATACAGAGACTCTAGAATTACACCACATTTTTTTGATCTTAAAAAATTATTTAAAAGTCAATCTCTATAAAAATGCAATAAAATGCATAAATCTCATGTTGTTTGGAGTGGAAACTATTAGATTTGTACTGTAGAAATGGTCATTTATTAACTGGTTTTAACTGCATCAAATGTCTGCCTCATTTGGTCCTTTTTCTACAGTATAGCAGGAAGTCAGTTTTCATTATTTCTACATGAATTGTAGTGTTGACAGCAATAGCCAAGCTGAACCATTCAACCCTATTTATCATTTGTTGATAAAGCAAAAAAATAAATAAATAACAATTATAGAAAATATACATGTTCAAATAATTATAAATCAACATTTGATCCCAAATTAGTCATTTCTTAATTTAAGCTAAATTGCAACGGTGTTACTTGCAACAGTTATTCTTTGATAGATAGATGTGATCTGGAAAATGTGACATTATGATGATGGAAGTAACTGTAGAATTAAAATAACTTGTGCAAAGAAGCACATATTATAGTGGTATTAACAAAACAAGTTAATTTGTTCTCTAATCACCATATATCATTTTGAGCAGAGCAGAGAAGTCTCTTTACATGTGACCTCTGACCTCTGTCTGTCCTGTGGAATGTGTCCTCCCTGTCCTCTGAGCAGTTGGAGGCAGAAACAATGAAGGGAGAAAAAGGGAAATCAAGAAGCTGTGTGTTTTTCTTGGCAGTCTGCTCTGGTAAATAATCAGCTTCTATTTTTACAGCCATAATTCTAAAAACAACCACAGCGACATTCCAGTCACACACTGACAAGCGTGTCATTTCCTGTAGTGGGTCCTGCAGTGCAGTGTGTGTGTGTGAGACGTGATCACGAGCGTGACGTGTCTGTTTCCTGTCACTGGTCCTCAGAGGCTGAACAAACACACTCAGGATGAATTACACTGTAAAGTGAGCATCACTATGAACAACTACATACTCTACTCTAACACTGCAACGAAAAAAATATCAAGGGGAATACTGAAAAACTATGATTTCTGACATAACTGTCCAGCTCTAGATCAGTTTACACTAAAGGTGCGGTCGCATTTACAGTTATCTGGCAAATTTACAAAGGTGAAATCTAGTCGTTTCAATAAGAATCCACAAGTTCAGGAATTTCGTGAAAGATTTCTCCTGCAGCTGAATTCGCGTTGTTGACCAAAAGGAAGCGGCCTGGTTTGAAAATGACTTTTGTTTGAGTTCTGCTTCTTAATCACTACACCTCTAACAATACAGTAGTAGATAATACACCTTTGTTCCTGCGATATTTCACCAAAACTGCGCTAATGTGACTGCGCTTCTGGCAGAGTTATGAGCTGTGCTCTGACGCATTTCAGAATGCACAACACGCAAAAGAGTATGTGTTTGTGGTGTACAATATGTCTAGGATTGTTATATATTGGTAAGATTTAGAACTTTTGCATCTAAAATTGTTTGTTTAATTCATATTTACATTGTGTGGTGTTTGGCAAAAACAAAATAACATGAATAAAAATATACATGAATAAGGGTTTAAAAAAATACTAATACTAATACTAAAAAAATAAGGGTAAAAAATACTAACGTTATAAGTAAATCTCAAAGAGCATATTAAAATAATAAAAAAGGCACGTCATGACCCCTTCAAATACCCATCATTCACAAATCTCTACACATTATAGCTATTATTAGACAAGATTTTGTCTAATTTATAATATTTTCAGCTACCAATAAAAGTACTCTAAGCCTTGTTTGACAAACTGTACCTGTTATTTTCCCCCTCCAAAATCAGCACAGAAAACACAAAGGTCATCAGACTGCGCCTACTAATTATTCACAATGGCGATTAAATGAGAATCCATTTAAGAAACCATCAAACGCTGGTTGAGAGAAGATGGGCGCGTATAAGAGCTCATAAAAGAACAATGACACGGAGGTTGTGGAATGCTCTCGGACATGTTTCGGTTAGCCGATAGCAATGAATCACATGCAGTGCTGGGTAAGATTCCAGCAGAAGCGGCATCTTCATCGCTGAACACTGATTCTGGATGAACAAGCGTACTGGAAGAGAAGTCATGACGTCAGGCGTTTAACAACATGAAAGAGTAACTGGATGATCCCTGTTGGGGGAGGAGGTAAAACTACTGTATTTACAGACGAGTGTGTGTGTGTGTGTGTGTGTGTGTGTGTGTGTGTGTGTGCGCGCGCGTGTGTGTTTACTGAATCTGGATGAACAAGCGTACTGGAAGAGAAGTCATGACGTCAGGCGTTTAACAACATGAAAGAGTAACTGGATGATCCCTGTTGGGGGAGGAGGTAAAACTACTGTATTTACAGACGAGTGTGTGTGTGTGTGTATACAGGCAAGCGTGCGCGTGTGTGTTTATGTGTGTGTGTGTGTGTGTGCGCGTATACCTCACCAAGAGGTCATTAATCTTGCTGTCGAAACGTGAGGCAGGAGAGATCAGTGTAGGTATCATTGACAACCTCACTGTCAATCTGTTCAAGCAATGCTAATGTGAACATCAAACAAACAATGGAGGACGGGCCTCATTAACATATTCAAATTACATGATAATTGCTTGTATGGAAATAAAACTTCACTTTCATTCATTTGGAATACACTTTTATCCAAAACAAGGTACAGTAGATTAATTTTATCAGTTAAATGAATGTGTTTCCTGGGAATCAGTCACATGACCTTGGCATTGCTACAGGCGAGCTACACTAATATATAAAAAAACAACATAATTTAACAATGTTGTGTTCTCATAGAGGTCTTAAAGCAGAGAATTCGAAACGTCATTGTGAACGCAGGGTTGCTCTGTACCGAAGTGATCAACGCAATCCTTTCATTAACAGCCCTTCATCAAATGCCGTTAGTGACGTGTAGAGCTGTGCAATTAATCGAAATACGGTTTTGATTTCGGCCTCCAACGATTATGAAAATACAATAATCGAGATATAACGATTATTGCGCCACATTCCGCCCCTTTTCCAGCATTGCGGTTTTGCTCCTCCATAAAAGCCCAATTTCACGTGCAAATCAGTAAAATTATGTAACGCGACTTTCGCAAACTGGGACGTGCTTGATTTATCAAAGGTTATTAGATTTATTCATGTTTTTAAAAAGACCTCTAACACTAGCTTGCTCTATTCTTTTTCTATTCTATCTGTTTTCTTTTTATTTATTTTATTATTTAAAAAGCCCTTGCTATGTGTGCTGCGTGAGACTTGTTATAGCACTTGCATATCATTGCTCTTTTGTTGATTTTGATTGCTTCCATTGTCCTCATTTGAAAGTCACTTTGGATAAAAGCATCTGCTAAATGACTAACTGTAAACGTAAAAGCACGAAAGAGGATTTCTGTGCGTGCGCTCAGAGATGGAACAGAACACGGATGAGTAAAGTCAACTTTTAGCTTAAGGTGCGCACATAAACCATCAAATACATGCAAAAATTTGTCAAAATGCGACACTTGGTGATTATTCACATAAACCCTCGTCGGTTATGTAATAAGTGAACGTAAACAGTTGAGAATGAAAATACGTGTGTAACAGTAAATTGCGTGCGTGCAGCTCTTAAAGTGACAGCAGCCTAATATTCCTGCTGCCGACTGTGTGCTTAATATTAATCAAACAACAAAAGACAAAGACAAAATCACTCGCTGCTCTTGACTGAAGGACTTTGTAGCTTTAATAAGAAACAAAGAAAGTTTAATTCTTACAGTGAAGACTATGCTGTTTTATTTTACATTCAATTTCTGTAGTAGGCTGTTATCTGAATACTTTAGACTTGCACTGTTTGTTTCATTTGTATCTTTTTTTTTTCTATTGTATTTGTCCTTTCCTTTTTTTATTACTGACCGTTTAATTTTTTTCAATAATTTTTAGGGACTTTTTTGTTTTTTTACTAATATTAGTTACCCTAGTATTCTGCTGTGGTATTGAGAATTGTGAAATTCCGCTGGTCTCTAGAATGAAGATGTCATAGCAACCTTATTTACAGAAATTATATATCTCTATCTTTACATAAATCACTCATATAAAGTTTGGTCATGTGGCTCACTTATAATCATGTTAAATAATCGTGCAGTGCCGTCATAATAAAAGTCCTGCCTCGAACGCATCGGCCAAACAGAAAAACTTATCGGCCAATGCCTGAAAAATGTCAAATATCGGTCGATATATCGGCCTTGGCGATATATCGGTCGACCACTAATCATGATTATGATTTTTGGCATAATCGAGCGGCCCTAGTGATGTGTACAGTCAGAGGTCACAAACGGAAGTCATCTGTGACCATCTGATCCTGGCTGGTCCTCGTCTTGTTTAGGACCACACTTCCAAAAACCTTTGGGAATTTATTCAAGACTCACTTGGAATTTCAAAACCCTCAAGAGGAGGATGGAAGACGGGGGAGGGAAACGATTTGTATTTTTTTTCCCCGCAATGCATTTTCGCAAAATCCATTAGGTCAGCGGTAGGGATGTAACGATTCACTCAACTCACGATTCGAACAGAGGCAAGATGAAAAGAAAAAATACCATCTAAACTTTTCTAAAGACATTAAGTTCCCCTCAGACATGGATTCATATAAACTCCTACCCCTAAATGAATCGCGATTTGTTTAGCATCTCAACCGATTTGAATCGTCACATATTTTAATCGATTTTCAACCGGCTCGCTGTTAATCGTTACATCCCTAGTCAGCGGTTCTCAAATTTTTTCTCTTAAATCTATTAAATCTAAGCTTTACAAGCCATTTAATGAGGTCTTTAATATTAGCCCACTAATGGAAGCGGTATGAAGAAAATGTCACGCTTCTACAACTCTAGACTCACCGGCTATCATCATTTACGACGGCTTCGTGATTTTGGAAATCTCCCACTGAGAGAAAGGACGGGAATATTGCTTTAAAATGTTCAGTGGACACTAACAGTGAGGATTTCTCCGCTGCAGGCTGATGGACTTGCATGAGCTCTGATGTTGCTCTCATCACGGGAGGCTGCATCATTCTCTTTAAGGCCATCGCTGCTTATAAAAGCCAAGAAACTCTGACATTTTCTGCTCCAAGACAAAAAGGCAAGCCCTTTATTCACTGTTATCATCATGCAGCTCAGCAGATATTCATGTTGGATTGAGAACATTTGATCTACCTGACTGTCTCTCTCTATCTACAGTATCTATGAAAATGCTAAAACATGCAAGCAGTGTGATAAAAATGCTAGCAACACGCTAACACTGCCTAGACACATGTTATAACATGCTAGCAACACGCTAAAGTCTATTTTAACTGAATAAGTACATAGTCTGAGTTGCGCTGCATGTTTCAGAGTGAAGTGTTGCAATTTCACTACTGTTTACTACCCTGAACTAGATTCTCAGTCCAGGAAAACATCCTCTGAGATCTGCATTTGTTCAGCAGTAATATAACGACCATATTATATATTTTTTTTGTGATCGAATATGTATCTTGGTCAAAAGCATATTGCACCCAAAACGTGATGCAAGATGCAAACGCAATATTCTGAGGATGAAAATCACTAGATTTTAGAAGGTTAGTGACACAAAAAACATAATTTTACCATACAAATGTCAAAACGTGCGAAGAACTTGTCAAAAAGATTAAGATTTCACATTGCGAAATAACTTTCATCACAATTAAGCAACAAATAGCCCAAATAAAAACGGGTTCGGGACACTGAGCTCTCACCTTTTGTAGGCTTGTGGGGTTGAGCTGTGTTTTATCGATGATCTTCACCGCGACCTGAAAGACAAACACAGTGTTAGTATGAAACGTGTTTATTTATAGATTCCTATAAATAGCCGATACGTCTGAATATCTAAAGGCTATGGGGCATTCTCGTCATCATCCCTCCCCGCGTCACAGCAAAACCATTTCTTACATAATCTGGGCTTTCTGATTGTCCTGCGAGTGGCTCTGACGTACAGCCTGTTCAGTAATGCATGCTGCTTCTAGCACTAGAGAAGTGTCTTTATTTTCAAACACACAATAATCTCTCCAGCTTCCCTGAATGAGGGAGAACTGAGGGTCGAGAGTCAAACAGGACAGATGTGTAATGAGATTTGTTTTCTGAGTTACGTTTGTGAAGTAATGTGTAAACGGAAATGCACAGTCTGTACACCTTTCACACTAACCTCTGTTCATCAGGACTGCTGTGTTATTATTTGAATGTTTTGTTTTCCTATATTGGTCTGTTATAATGGTACCAATTATTGCATATTTTCCCGTCATGTAAAAACCAAACCACTTTACATGTTGCTCAAATAGTTTCTTCTTCCTGTCCATCAGTGCACCACACTTTATGGCAACAGTCATAAATGGAAAAATAGTTGAAGGGTTAAGCTTATATACGACCTAAAATAATCACAATATGTATCTATGAAAAATTAAGTATCAAATGCTGGAACGCCTGCCGATTTCCATCCTCCAAATATGACAATGTAGTAAAAGTGTTCGCATTATTACTGTATATGTCACATTAAATATGTATCTGCTCACCTCTCTTCCTGTTAAAACATGGCGGGCAAGTTTGACTTTAGCAAAGTTGCCTTTGCCGATGGTTTTGAGGAGTCTATAGTTCCCGACGTGAGGCTGTTCGTCTGTGAGGGACGCCACTGAGTTGCGGCAGCGCGGGAGACTCTGACGACTCGCTGATTTCGTGGGAGGTGCTGGTGTGTCCGTGTAGCCATCGACAGACGTGTGCTGACAGACAGAAGGAAAGCGTGTTAGATTCAAATTACATGTTTAAAAAAAAAAAACTTTCAGTGTAAGAGGTTTTTCAAATGGATTAAAAAAATTATGGCATGTTTAAAAAAAACTACATTTGAGGCTTTATTGCAGTGCACACACTCAACCCTACTACACTATCCTAAATAATTTACAAAACAACAAAAAATGTGTTGATATCATTAAACTAGGGCTGGGTTTTGACACAAATTTCACGATTCGATTCGATTCTCATTCACAAGCTTGCGATTCCATTCGATTACCAATTCGATTCGATTCAATATTGATTATTTTTTATATATATTAGGTACAGTGCATGCCAAATTGTGTCAAGGAAAAATAAATCCCTCAACTAATGCTGTAAAATATACATGAGAGTCAGTTGGTACTACATTATAATATTGAAGGTTAAAATTGACTGATTTGTGTTGTACAACTGATTAAATTGCACTTAATGAATGTCACATTAAATATGTATCTGCTCACCTCTCTTCCTGTTAAAACATGGCGGGCAAGTTTGACTTTAGCAAAGTTGCCTTTGCCGATGGTTTTGAGGAGTCTATAGTTCCCGACGTGAGGCTGTTCGTCTGTGAGGGACGCCACTGAGTTGCGGCAGCGCGGGAGACTCTGACGACTCGCTGATTTCGTGGGAGGTGCTGGTGTGTCCGTGTAGCCATCGACAGACGTGTGCTGACAGACAGAAGGAAAGCGTGTTAGATTCAAATTACATGTTTAAAAAAAAAAAACTTGCAGTGTAAGAGGTTTTTCAAATGGATTAAAAAAATTATGGCATGTTTAAAAAAAACTACATTTGAGGCTTTATTGCAGTGCACACACTCAACCCTACTACACTATCCTAAATAATTTACAAAACAACAAAAAATGTGTTGATATCATTAAACTAGGGCTGGGTTTTGACACAAATTGTATTGTAATGCTTTATTGGGTGGTTGTTCTGCACGCTTAATAAACAAACTCCAGCTGGTCCAAAATGCAGCAGCTAGAGTTCTTACTAGAACCAGGAAGTATGACCATATTAGCCCGGTTCTGTCAACACT